ACCACACACTCGCTCTCCCGCTGTTGTTCCCTAGCCCAGTCCACAGTGCTGAAACTTTGAACACAAGCCCGCAGGTGGGAGGTGTTCAAAGCAGAAGATTCCGAAAAAATATCAGGCGATCCAATGGAAGCGGCGGAAGAAGGCGAAGCCTCACCGACTGGGGCAGCCGCTGTCCGTGGTGATGTCCGCGAAGGGGACATCGTGAGTGGCGAAGTCCCGGGCGAAACCTGTAGAGAAGGCGAAGTCGGGGATGCAGAGCGCGCCGCTGACGGCGAAGACACCGGTGGCGCAGGAACATTCGACGAAAACGCCGATGTCGGCGTTGCGGTTGGCGGCAGCAGACGCGCGGCGGTCCGGTTGTTTTTTTTTGTCGAGCGGGACCTGCCAGAGCGACGGGCAGGCGACGATGTCCGAGGGACGATGGTAGCCCGCGGCTGGCGTCCGAAATAAGCGGGACCGGTGACGGTGCCTCCGGAAACAGCGGTAGTTTTGGCCCGAGTCCGTGAAGAAATGAGCGGTGCCCGCTCCGGAAGCGAAGACAAAACGTGCACAGATCTAGTCGCCAAAGACGCGGCAGAAGACATCACGCGGGACGCAGCAGAAGTCAACGGGGAAGCAGGCCCTGCAGATGCGGGAACAGGCGAGACGATGAAGACCCGCGGGGACCGCTGAGAATCTTCGCAGGCAATCGTTGAGTCCGTCAGAGCATCCAACCCACGCGGGTGATGTCGGCGAAAATCCCCAAAATCGGAGGGCTGCCACGCTGGCGGCGAAAAGACTCCAGCCGGGCAAGGAGAGCGCGGAGCCCACCCAAACCGACCTCCGGCGTAGACGACGAGTGATGGTTGCGTCCACATGCCCGAATGAGGAAAACACCCGCTTGATCGACATCATCAATGCAGTCGGGACCGGTTTTGTCCGTGTCTTGTGCTGGTAAAGGCAACCGCGAAAGAAAATCCGCGTTGCCGTTTGCCGAACCTTTCCGATATTTCAGGGTGTAGGTGAAGTTGGACAGGAATTCGAGCCATCGTTGCACCCTAGCGTTGTGTTCCCCAACCTTGCCAATGCTCTCCAATGCTTTTTGTGGTCCGAATAGATGATGAACTTGGTCGACCACAGATAACCGCGAAGGCGTTTGATGGCCCAAACAATGCCAACAGCCTCCAGATCCAAAACGGTCCAGTTACGCTCCGCAGGAAGAGCAGCGCGGCTGATGTACACGATGGGTCTCACCGAGCCATCGAGCTGTTCTTGTTCCAAAGAGGCGCCAAATCCGTCGATACACGCGTCGGAACACGAACGAAGAGGACGGCTGTTGTGCTCGATTGCTGCCCAAGCCGGGAAGACCAAAATCGGGGGGCGAGCGAGTTCGCTTAACAACGTTTGGACAACCTTGACCATGCCCGGGGTGTACTTGAAGGGAACGCCTTGCTTGAGAAGGAAGTTTAGAGGCCGCACCTTGGTGGCGAGATTCTTGAGGAATTTCCGGTAGTAGCTGAGTCCGCCGAGAAGACTCCGAAGCTGCTTAACATTCGTCGGCGGCGGCATGTGCGTGAGCGCCCTAATCTTAACGCCATCAGGGCTAACACTGGCTGGAGAGATGGTTTGACCGAGGAAGTTGGCGTGCGTGGCGCCGACGCGAGCCTTCCCTAAAGACAGTTTGAGGTTGTACTGTCGCAGTCGTTTGAAGAACTCGATCGTGTTCAGCGCGTGTCCCAGAGGTTCCTTATCGAAACAGATGACGTCGTCCAGATACGCCAGCACACGCTCCAGACCGTGCGCCACTCTGTTGATGACCTTGACGAACCAAGACGGACTTGCGTTGGCTCCCTGCGGCATCTGAAGCCATCCTAACAACTGCGTGAGAGTTAAAAAGGCGGTGAGCAGGACAGTGTCTTCATCACAAACGATCTGGTGGAAAGCCCAGTTGAGGTCGAAGATGGAGAACACTTTACCGGTGTACAGAAAATCCAAGATACCGTCCACCCGAAGGAGAGGTTGTCCATCCAAATCCACCAGAGCGTTGAGACGTTTGTAGTTGACGGTGATGTGAACCGATGCGTCCTTCTTGGGGGTGACAACTAAAGGAGAAGCCCACGGAGACGTGGAATGTTGAATGAGCCCTGCCGCCAAATACTGGTCCAAAACGGCATCCATTTTCTTTTGCATCAACGGGTTGATACGATACGGGCGTGATGCAACGGGCTTCGTCCCTGCTGGGACAGAAAGCGTGAACGGCATGATGGTGGAGGAACCAAAATCGGGTTTCGAAGTAGAGAACACGTCAGAATACTCCACAAGGGCCTCGGCCAAACGATCAATAGCCTCCGGTGTCCATCCCGGATTGTGTAGATCGAAAGCGATGTTGTGCATATGTGCGGGCAGCCTAGCCCACAACCGCATGAAGCTGGAGCGCTGTGCCTCAGAGAAGCGGTCAAGTCGTTCTTGTGGAGGAAGCTTCGGAGGAGGCGGGGCGGAGGCTGGGTCCGGAGAGCGGTGAGTCCCGGACTTGGGGCCAACGGCGTTGACCCGAGGGGGTGACGTAGATGTTGTGGTGCCAGTAGGAATCGAAGATGGTGCCGCCTTCAGGGTTTCCACCGGTACTCGTAGTGGAGGCGCGGCAGACACTCCAATAACGTCTCCCGGCTCCAGCTCGGCACAAACTGCAAGGGGAATACGCTGCAGACCATTGGAAACGAACGCATCTGGGGACGAAAGCGCACCCACTTCAGGTTTGAACGATACCAGATACTCTCCAATCAGCGCAGGCATGCCAGAAGAACGAACGAGGTCCATCTCAACGAGTGCAGGCTCCGGCCCCAAGGAAATTCCCGAGCTCCTTGCATGTTTAAGGTGTAACGAGGAGGCAGGAGCGTCGTCATGTGTAGCGTAAACGCAAGCGCCAGCTGTAAAACGCGGAGAGAGCGTGAGATCGCCCATCACCCGGCCGTCCGTTCCAGGGTGGGGGAGGGCGGTGAACACGCGAGAGTTGAAGCGCATCCAGCTATCACGACCCAGAAGCACGGCGTTCCCCATGGCGGCGTCTGGAACAACACAGGCCCAGACCGCCAAGGAAGCGGTAGCCCTATCTCCATGGAGAAAATTAACGGTGAGACGATTTGACCGGGTGGTNTGTGTAGCGTAAACGCAAGCGCCAGCTGTAAAACGCGGAGAGAGCGTGAGATCGCCCATCACCCGGCCGTCCGTTCCAGGGTGGGGGAGGGCGGTGAACACGCGAGAGTTGAAGCGCATCCAGCTATCACGACCCAGAAGCACGGCGTTCCCCATGGCGGCGTCTGGAACAACACAGGCCCAGACCGCCAAGGAAGCGGTAGCCCTATCTCCATGGAGAAAATTAACGGTGAGACGATTTGACCGGGTGGTCACAAGGGCGAGTCCATCACCAAACCCACCCCAACGACGAGAGGGCGAAACACGAACGCTGCCAGCTGTCAGGGCTCCAGCAGCTATCATGGTGGTGACCACGGAGTCGGACACGAAGGACGCAGGAAACCCAGGGTCCAGAAGCGCCACTCGGGTGAGCTGAGAAGTGGCTGTAGGTCCTCCATGCAGCAGGACCCGGGTGGTGGATGAGTCCGAGTCCAACAGGAGCGTGTCGCCGACCAGATCGGGCCCATGTTTGAGAAGAGGAGGCTGGTCTGCACAACCGGAGGTCGATGCCACCAGATGAACGTTCAGGAGCATGGTCCCCTGGAGCGCCCAAACGTAGACAAGCTGGGTCTTCGCCCGGGTCCTTCTGTGACGACGAACCTGCCGCAGTAGCAACCTCATGGATGCGTCGATGTCCATGGAGAGGAGGCTGCGAAATGGGGGGCGTGGGAGGATTTGGAAGCGGGGAAATCTTCGCCAGAGAGGGGATGATCACGCAAAAGGCGTCGAACTTCCATCAAAGCTTTTCCCAACAAGATTTTACCGCTAGCCGCCCACTTGGATGAAACGCTAGCATCTGGAAAGCATGCAGACATGCCGATACCCCAAACACGATCGAAGGGGCTGGCTTCTGCAAGGAGGCGGGTACCCCTCTCCAGTAGATGATGTTCCATGTCATGGTTTTGAGCAAATTTGGCGTACGACCCCGTCAGCACGATCTCTTCACGACGACGCTCCCGTTCAGCATAGTCGAAAGGACGCACATTTCGACCCAAGAACTTGTGTGTCTTAGGATCTGTTGCAGCCATAATTTTGTCATACGACGTCATATCTCCAATCAACTTCGCTTTTTCAGACATCATGAATTGCTCACCACATGAAGAACGTACCCCCAGTACGTCAAAAGCCGAAGGAGTCCATTGCGAGAACACAGACGGAGGTTTTCAGAAAAGAAGGACGTCATCCGAAGCGTACTCGCACTTGTCATCAAACGACGGAGCCGGTGCAGGGCGAAGGGGCAAAGAGCGGGCACCAGGCACAGGCGGGGGTGGACCAGGCGGACGGGTCCTCTTCTCCGACGGGGAGGACCCAGAAAGCGAGGCAAGAGCGGGCGAAGTCGCAACGCTCCGTGATCCGGAGGGCGGCCTAAGGGCGGCAGCTCCGGCGGGAGCATTGTTAGCAGAGGCCATTCGGCTATTTGAGACCCGTTCGTTAGGAGAAGTTATTCCTGCAGCAGACAGATGTTTGTTCATTGACGCAGGGCGCTCTTGACTACTCCCCCTTGACAAAGGAGCCGAACCTTCCACAGAATGGTGGGCACTACCATCCGATCCCGATGGCAGTGGTGCAGTCAGCACGTGGTGGGCAGCAGNNNNGGTGGACCAGGCGGACGGGTCCTCTTCTCCGACGGGGAGGACCCAGAAAGCGAGGCAAGAGCGGGCGAAGTCGCAACGCTCCGTGATCCGGAGGGCGGCCTAAGGGCGGCAGCTCCGGCGGGAGCATTGTTAGCAGAGGCCATTCGGCTATTTGAGACCCGTTCGTTAGGAGAAGTTATTCCTGCAGCAGACAGATGTTTGTTCATTGACGCAGGGCGCTCTTGACTACTCCCCCTTGACAAAGGAGCCGAACCTTCCACAGAATGGTGGGCACTACCATCCGATCCCGATGGCAGTGGTGCAGTCAGCACGTGGTGGGCAGCAGCGGAAAAAGTATTTGTATCAGGTGCTGTCACACGGGGGCAGCGGACGGTCGAAGACAACGAAAGCTGCGAAAGAGAAGGAGGATCGACGAGGTTCCCGACGAGTGTAGAAGAAGGCTCGTGTGC